CTGCTTACTAGTAACACAAAGCTCACAAAAGGGTAATGAATCCTTTTTGAGCCCTGGAAGAAGCTTTTGTGCCGAGAGAATTTTCAAACCACGTTCCGACATGTGGCCAAGTTTGCGGTGCCACATCATCGTTAATTCTTCTGCTAAACTATTGAACTTGTCAACGCGACAGATGCTTCTCCTTTTTGTAGTGTCTCTCCTTTAATCATATACGAATTTGCAGCTATCTTTTTCGCTTTCATCACCACAAGCGCGCCTTTGATTATTTTCATGACCCCATCTTGAATATAGGTCTTACAACCAATGCTATCTAATTGTCCTAAAGATAATATATTTTTCTTCAAGCCTTTTACGTGTCGTACCTCTTGGATAGTACGAAATATACCATCATACATTTTCAATTTGATGGTTCCAATACCAGCGATCTCCAAGGCATGATCATTCCCCATAAACACAGATCCTCCTGAGATAGGTTCATAATGATGGAACCATTCCCTCCTTGGTGTCATATGCCATGTAGCTCCTGAGNTTTGATGGTACCAATACCAGCGATTTCCAAAACATGATCATTCCCCATAAACACAAATCCGCCGAAGATAGGTTCATAATGATGGAACCATTCTCTCCTTGGTATCATGCGCTATGTAGCTTCTGTGTCCATAAGCCAGACATCAGAAAACCGTTTTCTGCTTTAAACAACTGTCGTTGCCTCGCTATATAAAATTTCACCATCGTCTGAGGTACTTGCTATACAACCCTGAGCTTTTGATGTCTCAGGACCTTTTCCTTTTGACTTCTTCATTCTTTTTGAGACTCTAACAATCCTTTTTTAATGTTCTTTCTTGCCACAGTAATAGCACTTGGCATTCTTTTTACTCCTGGATTTTGATCTATTCTGATTATGACTCCCACTGGAGCCACGTTCCGTTGATCTCCCTCTCATCATCATCAAAGCTTCCGAACAATGTGAACTTGTTGATCTTTTTTTTTTGTCAACTTTCTTCTCCAAGAACCGTAGCTGCAATATCATCAAAGACTAGAACTTCAATATTGTTGGTTAAGTTGATGATGAATTGATCGTATGAATCAGGTAGACTTTGAAGTAGAATTTCAGCACGTTCACCCGTCTCTATGTTATGCCCCATTGATGTGGGTTGTGAAAATAGAGTGGTGATGGTGTTAATATGGTCGGTGACCATAGTTGACTCCATCATCCAAAGGGTGTAAAGTTTTCTCTTCAAAAAGATTTTGTTGTGTAACGATTTGGCATCATACAGCTTTGTTAGCGTATCCTATATTTCTTTGGCTGTCTTTTTCTCCGCCAAACTTGACAATACTCCATTGGCTAGTGCTACGTGTAGATTAGCAATTGCATTGCCATCCATCTCGTTCCACTTAGCATCGTCAGTGATCTCATCGGGCCTATCTCTAATTGTCGCCAAGCAACTTTTCCTCAAAACTGCTTTTATTCTCATTTTCCAGAATGAGAAATTGTTCCCATTGAACTTTT